CTCTTTATCATATACTAGATCAGGTTCATAAGACTCAGTATCCTCCTTATCTTCTTTAGGTGCTTCATACACTTGACCTTTCCTAATAGTGACAACCCTCAGAGTAGGACGATCCACAGTAATGTGGCCAAATCCTTAGCATTGAAAGCATTTGGGTGCTTTAAAGCTAAATTCCTTAACGGCATTTGATGGTGGCTTGCACATAGTGCTAGATTGTGGCTTGCTTGAGGGATTGGACTGTTGAAACTTTATCTTGTGGGCATCTGAATAGCCCCAAGAGGAAGAGGGCTAGAAAGATGATCTCTTGGGCATCTACTTCTTAACATAAATGGCTAAATGAATGATTGATGTCATCCAAGGTCTAATACTATTGAAGTTGGACTACGACGATTGATGTCGGCATTTAGGCTTGCAAGGTATCGGGCTATTATCTGCTCATCCTTCTTTTGAATGTCACATTTCATCATGAGTTTCTCAAACTTTCTAGTATATTCTTCCACAACAAGGACCTCTATTAAAGATTTTACAGCTGGAGAAAGTTATCCTAGTGGTAATAATCTGGTAGAAATTTCTTAGTGATCTGGCGTCTCATTTTTTCTTAGGTCTCAATCTCGTGCTTTCCTTTACGTTTGCAATTTCGCCTAATGTTTTTCCACCACATAGAGGCATGTTTCTTGAGTTTTAGGGAAATAATCTTGACTTTTCTGTGCATCTGAAATCTCCTTATATTTAAATACACATTCAAAGTTTAAAGCTAGTCTATGAACTCATCTGGTTGAAGTATTCCCTCGAATTTAGGAATGTCAACCTGGATGTCATTAGGATAGAATGATTGTTGTAAAAGGATGGCAATGATTGTCAGTATATGATAAATTGTTGCTTCTCAAATCTCCTTCTGGGTTTTCTCTGTTAGTTTCTAATAAACCTGTTGCATTTCTATAGTAGTTTTCAACTCTCTTTATTCTACGTCTCATCTCTTCCAACTCAATCTCATGCATATTCTTGCATCTTGGAGGCATCTTGAAATTTTTCTATAAGGTTAGGACTTTAGGAAAGCAAATATAAGGGAAAAAAATGTAATTTATGAGAGTGCAAGGGTAAAAGAGAAATTTTAGGAATTTTAAGGCGGATATGTAATTTTGAAAAATATAGGGTCAAAGTATAATTTTGAAAAATATGAGGTCAAAATGAAATTGATGTAAAATTTGATTGTCAAATCATAATTTTTGAGAAAAATGTGGGGTCAAAATGGAATTCAAAAGTTTAGGGGTCAAAATGGAAATAGTGAAAGGTTAAGGTTCAAATTGCAATTTAAGAAAATAGAGTTAAAGGGGCAAGATGATGTGGTGGTCTCACACGTGGTGATCTTTGAATGGGATGACCTACCGTTGACTGGTCAGAGAAGTTGATGTGGCTAATGACGTCAACGTCTTCAACCTTCAGCAAGTGTGTGCGATATGTAGACTAGCAGTGACAGCATTGTAAGTCTTCAGCATTGGCGCTTAAGGGTGAGTGCAATGTCATATGGCGATGGGGAACCTCTTGTTCCACTTTTTCATATCTCCTAAGCACGTTGGTGATTTCAATTTTTGAAAAAAAAACATCTCGATTATAAGTTTCAAAGACATTAGGGACTTCTTATCTAAATCTCTCTCTTCTCTGACATAATCCCTCAACTCTCACCTCATTTTCTTACTCTCTGGATCTCTGGGAATCTGCTTTGATGCCAAAAAATGGTACAAAACCCAAAAAAGGAAAAGAAATCTAGAAGCTTATTCTCTCAATCTTTGTTCATCCCATACATAGTGTAAAATATCCTATTTATACTACAAAGATAGAGAACTGAAATCAATAAAAGGATTAATGCTTATTATTGAGCTAAATATTTATGTAAAATGGATGTATGATCGTTAATGAAAATGAACGACATAACGTTAGTGCTAGCTGGCGTTATTCGGTTTCATTAAGGGTCATTTTTACCTTTCAACTTTTTCCTAAAAGGTTGGTATATGGGCATCTTTAACTTAAATAAGAGTCAATTATGTTCCTTAACATTAAATATTGTCTCTCTTATCACCCTATTATTTTCTCACTAAATATAAATATTGATTTTTTAACAAAATATAATTCTAAATATTAATTAAAGTAATATATAAATAAATTATATAAAAAATTTAAGAATATATTTAGTTTCATTTGTATCATAAATTTATTTTTATAATAAATATTAGAATAAACATTATTTTTAAATCTATATACTTGATAATTCTAAAGAGAGTATGAGGTAATTGATTTTTTTATATGGAAAAATTGTAACTTGAAAGGGGGAGTCAATGTTTTTCTAGTAGGAGAAATTGTCCCTCTATGCCCAACATGGGTACATTCCTACCAAGATTTGAATCTTTACTTAAAGAATTGTCCAAATTTAATTCTTAACTGTGTGTTAAATAAGATTATCTCTATCAGAAAAATATTTATATGCAATAAAAAAGAGGGAGTAGGTGTGAGAGGCATGAAATAGTGTTAATAAACTAATATATACATATATATATATATACACAGAGAGTGAGAGAGAGAGAGCGCAAGCGAGCGAGCAATGTTAGAGTATTATATAATAATATATGTGATAATTGTATATTTTATAAATAAAGAGGAATATATTTTGGATTGTATTTGATTAAATTTATTAATATTATATATATATATTTATTTATTTAATATTTATACATTTTTGCTCTTATAACTTACTCACCAAATAAGAAAGTATTTTGTTATAGAATCTACTAAAATTTATCCTTTTTATATTTTTGCAGAAAAGGTAGAACCAATTATATTAATTTAATATTTTTAAATAATATACATATAAAAATATATAAGAAATCTATAATGAAATAAAAATATTCATTTATAGACAACAATTGTAAAATATTTATAATTAATTTCTTAACTTAAAATAGATTTTATTGCATCTCTCTATTTTGCACCAATAGCATAGAATCTCATAAAAATCAAATAGCATTTAATAATATCAATTTTAATCCTTCTTTCCAAAGCCTCTTATATTGGCCAATAAAAAAAAAAATCTTTTCTCCCCTTTTTTTCATTCTATATTCCCGCCTCTTCCACTTTCCCATTCTTTATCATTGTTTAATATTAAATGCGCGTGCCATGAAAACAGAGAATGGGTAATGAATTGATGTTACTATTTGTTCAACGTGTAAAAATCTAACACGTTGAATTTTTTCTCCGCTCTTTTGTTTTGTTCGTCTTCTTTCAAATTTTTCTTTGCGGTTGCACAGTTCTCACTCACAATCTTCGGACTTTCTTCAAATTAATCTAACAATTTGATAGTAGATTTAGCCGGTTTGTGACTGGGAAAACGCGTTGAGAGTGATGGTTCGCTGTAAAATGTTTTATTTTGAATCTTTCTTTAAATCTTTTTTTATTTTTTCATTTTCATCTTCTCTCTTTCTCACCGCCCTTTATCTTTTTTTCTTTTCTGTAGTGTTTAGATGGTGGGAGAATAATAGTTATATTTTAAAAGAATGAATTAATAATAGTTAAGTTTTTGATAAAAAAATTTTGCAAAATAAATCATAAATTTTAATTCAAACAATTATAAACAGAAATTTTTATTGTAATTTTAAAGTTACATTTAATATTTTAAATACTCATTTATAATTAAAAATTATGAATTTATAATAATTTAAATAAATATTTTTAATTTATTTTTTTAAAAAATTTATCATAAACTTCATTGATATTAATTTAATATTTTAAAATTTAACCGTCATTTTTTTAAATGGCCCACCTGGGTCATTTAAAAATGATGTCAACGCGGTCTGAAATGGCTCAACTGGCGGAGCGGATTAATGGCCCAAATTGAGCAGTCTTCATGAACGACTGACGTCTGATCAGTTTGATTGTCCAAATCGATCCCATCTTAACACAACTATGCGTTATATACGGGACATACTTTTCAATATATTTTAGGTCAAAAAATAGTAGTAATAATATAAAGAACTTTATTTAGTTGCGAGGATGGAAAGTAAAATGTTCCAACTCGAAGTTAAGATATAGGGCAAAGTAGAAGAAAAATTTTAATAAGAGTTCCTTGATCAAATTTAATTAAAAATATTTTAAAACATCACTAAAGGACTCATATAAAATTTTTGTTAAATTTATAATAAAAATAATAAAATTATCCTCATTTAAATGAATAATATAAAACAATTTGTTCATTTATATACTCTATAAACAAGTGAAGTAAAAAAATGAATAATATTTTATAAGTAAATGAACAATAAAAAATATAAAAATGAATAAATTATTTATGCTGTTCATTTAAATAATGATAATTTTGTCATTTCAGTTACAAATTCAACAGAAATTCTAGATAGATCTTTCAGTGAAGTTTCAGAAAATATGGGGTCTCTTTTTTGATTAAGTTTGGTCAAGGGTTCCTGACTGAAATTTGCCCTAAAGTAGAAGGTTCCACGCGTTTAGTTCGTACTTGAGCGATGAATAATTCTAATAGAGTGGCCTGTCGTCAACGACTTCAGTCGCTTTCAACTTTGACTAATTCTGAGAACTAGCCTCAATTAATTAATCTCGACCACTGCACTTGTAAATATTGCATATTGCTGAGTATATGTTTTTCAAACACTTTACTCCTAAATTACCCTTCACTGTTAAGAGAGATATATATGCATGTACATGCACACTAACCATGTGTTAATAAGTGATAGACCTAGAAAATTTAATTAGTGGGAGCAAATTTAAATCAAATATTAATATTAAAATTTCATAAAAATATAATTCTAAATATTTGCTAAATTAATATAAAAATAACATTTGTTAAAGTACTAGTATATTTTTATAACCAATATAATAGATAAATATATTTTTAGATATATATGTTTCATGTTTTTTTGAAAAATAAATGGGTTAAAACAAGCATTTTTTGGGATTGGGGGCAAAGAAAATTTTTAAGGGAGTTATGTGTGATTTGCTTTATATAGATGAAACTGAGGTAATATTTACTTTTTGTTGGTGCATATATATATATATATATATATATAACTAACAGAAGAAGTCTAAAAAAGAAAATCCATATCTGACCACCGCCTGATCTGCCATGCCTACCATTTCTCCGCTCCTTCTTCTTTCATTCCTTACTTATCTTCCCATTCTCACTGCCCAGCCTGACCTGAGATATGCCTCTTGTTTCAACGATAGAGGTAACTATACAAATACGAGCACGTACCAAAGCAGCTTCAATATCCTTGTTTCAGAGCTCACTTCCAACACACAAATTGACTATGGCTTCAACAATTTCTCCCACGGTCAAAGTCCAGACAGAGTTAGCTTAATTGGGTTGTGTAGAGGAGATGTTAAACCAAACGAATGTCGTAGTTGCCTCAACAATGCCTCAATTCTCGTCCCAAAGTCGTGCCCGAATCGGAAGGAGGCCATGGGAGGCTATGACGAATGCTTTCTGCGATACTCGAACCGTTCAATATTTGGGGTCATGGAAACAGACCCTTCATATTACTTGTGGAATCCGAATAACGCAACAGACGTGGAAAATTACAACAAAGTGGTCAGCGACTTGTTGGGTCGACTGAGAATAAAAGCTGCGGCTGGAGATTCACTTGGCAAGTATGCAGCAGCAAATGAATCGGCGGGCAATTTTCAAACCGCATTTGGGGCAGTTCAGTGCACTCTTGACTTGTCTGAGCAAGAATGCTCCGACTGCTTGACGGCGGCGATCTCAGAAATTCCAAAATGTTGTTCCACAAAGACAGGTGGCAGGGTCATCAAACCCAGCTGCAATATTGGGTATGAGAACTACAGATTCTTCGAACCTGTGGCCGAGGATTCACCACCACCACCGTCTCCTTTACTTCCTCCAACAGGTACCATCCAACTTGTCAGCCTCAATTATTAATAGCAATATCCTTACAATTGTCCCTGACAATAAAATCCTACTCCCTCTATTCTTATATATAAAATATTTTTAATTAAAAAATATAAATTAATAAAAATTAGTTATTTAATTAAAAGTATAATAATATTTTATTTTTAATTATTATAAATAAAAAATAATTTTTTTAAAATAAATTAATGAAAGTACCTATCTTTTTCTCTTTCTAATTTAAAAAGAATATAATACTTCATTCATTAAAAAAAATACTAACAATCTTTTATATTTAAGGGTAAAAATTTTTTTAAAAGATTTCTTATCTACAAGAACAGAGGGAGCGGATCAGTATAGCTTCAACTTAATTAAAAATTGACAAATCAATGAAATCTATCTATCTATCTATTTAATTCCCAAAATTGGTATAGTTAAACTTGTTTATAACTCTCGTACCTGTAAAGCTGTGTTTTGGCATAACAGGTTTCAAATAAATTTAGTATAGCGCGTAAATAATTTTTACTAATTTTTGTATGATCAAATATCTTATCCATGCATTTTGATATTATATTATACAATATGTATTGATTAGATATTGGGCTCCATATATTGCACGGGATTCAAGCAATATATATGTCGAACTCTTTAAAACTTAATATATAATGCACTTTAGTATAAATTTATAGCTAATATTTATTTAAATGTGAAATATGTAACGTGTGTGTGAACAATGCCTGTTTACTCTAGTTCAAGTGAATAATATTTGAGAAATTGTAATATTTGTGGGCCTTAGGTTCACTTCAATTAGTTAGTGGTTTTGGGCCCAAACGGTTTAGTCAAAAGGTTAACATTTTACAACCTAATAAATTAAGATTTAAATTTTCTCGAAGAAAGATGACTTTAGCTACAGTTTCATCTAAAAAAAATTACCTTTTTAGTTTAAAAAAATCTAGTCCCTCCATTATAAGATATTTTTACCTAATATATACCCCTACTATACCTTAAGAAATATAAGGCATTTTAAATTTTTTAAAATGTAAATTTTGAATTTTTCGAAAATGTAATTAATACTTTAAAAAATAAAATACTTTAGAAAATGTGTTTTATAATACTGAAAGCATGGACTACTATTTTTTATAAAATTAATTTCATCATCAGATGTTTGGCTTTTTCAGGGGATGACAAAACATCAAGAACCATCATTGCTGTTGTTGTGCCGATTGCTGCAATAATCATACTGATCATCTCTATCTTCATTTATTTTAGAATCAGGAAACCCAGAGAGACCATTCATAGTAAGTCAGATTGATGATCTCTTCAGCAGTTCTTGTGATATGCTGTTTCAAAAAATTAAATATATATATATATATATATTTTGACAACTTACTTGTTTTCCTTGTTTCGCAGCTGATGATGAAGCTGAACTTGATGATGAAATTAAACCAACAGACTCATTGCAACTAGACTTCGAAACCATCAGAAATGCAACAGATAATTTTTCTGAAGGAAATAAACTTGGACAAGGTGGATTTGGACCAGTCTACAAGGTAGATCATAATATAACAATGTGAGGATGGGATCTCATCACTTTGTAGAAAACATATGTATACTGACATGTAGGTTCCAACTTTGATAATTACAGGGCAAGCTCTACAATGGAGAAGAAATTGCTGTCAAAAGGTTATCCAAGAATTCTGGACAAGGAGATATAGAATTTAAGAATGAAGTAATGTTGGTGGCCAAGCTTCAGCATCGCAATTTAGTGAGACTCCTTGGCTTCTGCTTGGAAAGAAGAGAAAGGCTACTCGTTTATGAGTTTCTTCCCAATAAAAGCCTTGACTATTTATTATTTGGTAAGTTATATCTACTTTAGCTTACTTAATCTGTGTTCTGTCTCTCTCACTTGTGTTAAAATCCTATTAGTTTTGTGGGCTTAAAGTGTGAAGTATATAATTTTACCCTGTGTCATGAAATTCAATTTCAATAAAAAAGAAGGCAGTAAAGATCAAACCTGCAGTAAACTTGCTCATACATGGTAGTGTGTTAATTTTAATTTCATTGCAATAGCTTCACTATAGGGATCTCTAACATCATATATGACTGGAATTTTAGATCCAAGTCAACGTGCTAAACTAGATTGGGAGTTACGCTACAAGATTATAGTGGGCATTGCTCGTGGTCTTCTTTATCTTCATGAGGATTCTCGACTACGAATTATTCATCGTGATCTCAAAGCAAGTAATATTCTTTTGGATAAAGAGTTGAATCCAAAAATATCAGATTTTGGTATGACAAGATTGTTTGTTATAGATCAAACGCAAAGCAATACTAGTAGAATAGTTGGAACCTAGTAAGTATTACAAGTCTTAACTTGTCAAATTAAAGAAACAAACTTCTAGATCATCAAGACAAAATAACATTTCAAGCTTCTTCATAATTGGCATGCAGTGGATATATGGCTCCAGAGTATTTAATGCGTGGACAATTCTTCATAAAATCTGATGTCTTTAGTTTCGGTGTCCTACTCTTAGAAGTTATAAGTGGGAAGAAAAACAGCTCCACCTTTCATGGAGAGAATTCACATGATGATCTGCTAAGCTTTGTAAGTCTATGCCTTTTTCCAATATACATAGAAGTTGCATAACGATTGTGAAATAATAGTGAATACTAAGATATTGAGGATGTTCTTTCAGGCATGGAAAAGTTGGAGGGAAGGGGCAGCCTCAAATGTAATAGATCCTATGTTAAACAATGGATCAAGAAATGAAATGATGAGATGCATCCACATTGGGTTACTATGTGTTCAGGAAAATGCACCTAACAGGCCAACAATGGCTTCAGTCTCACTTATGCTAAGTAGCCACTCTCTCTCTCTGCCATTACCATCACAACCTCCATTTTTAACAAATAGCAGTAGCTTATCAGAGATGAACTCAACGGAATATAGCTTATCTAGGGTAACAACATCAAGTGAAAGGAGAAGCAACTCTGTTGAAGCCTCAAAAAATGAAGTCTCAATTAGTGAGCTATATCCTCGTTAATAAATCCAACCTTGCAGGTGATATTCAATGCTTTGATTCTAATTTGCAGGTTACTATCCCTTCCAAAGAAAAATTGAAAGCCTGTTGTTCATCCGGAAATAAATGGACTCTCTAGCTATTGATGTACAATTTTTTTCACATAAAATTTTGAAATGTTTAAACTCAATTCATAATATTTCAAAGGTTCAATTGTGCAAAGTTTCTATCAGCGTTTCTACAATTTCCAAGCTACTGATGTATCCATCTTGGCCAATTAATCTCTAAAGAAAAAAATGCAAAAATAAAAAAAAATATTCATGAGAAATATACATATCTCATATTCAAATATCTTTTTTTTTTATTTTTACTAGTAATATTATATACACCCATTTTTAAGAATATAAATGTAATGATACTAGGTATATCAAAAAATTAGTGTGAAGGATATAGGAGTAGAGGTGTGAAGAATTTTGAGAAGTCCTCTAACCTAAATGCTTGTCTTCTCATCTCTGTCTCATAGAATTTTAAAAAACTAAAACCCTACTACTACAATTATAGAATTTTAATACTTTCTCAACTAAAAGATGTAATGTATTTTTAATCAAATTTCATCCTTAATAAAGTAATAATTTATCTTCCAACTAACATTATCTTTTTATATTTACTCTTATTTAATAGGATATTTCACTCTAAAATAAATATAAAATGCTTTATTCATAAGATCACTTTTTGGAAAAAAGCAACAATTATACATTGAAACGCTAAAAATATTTTATATTTTTTAACATCCAACCTCCTAAAAAATATTTTAATTTTTTTAATGGAGGGAGTATATTAAAATATCTTTTATTATATAAATAAATACACACACACATATATATACATACTCCCTCTGATCTGCATTATAAGACCATTTCTAGAAGATATATCTAGTCCCCATTATAAGTCACTGACAGCTAAAGACTTCCCATTTTAAAGTGAAATTTTAAAAATACCCCTGACTACTTTACTCATCTTTGTTCGGCTGACCTGACATTTCACTGGCGTCTTCTCTCTTACTCTGTCTTTATCCTTTTCTCTCACCATCTTTGCTCGGTTTTTGTCGATCGCCTCTTCCGTCGTCACCACCGAGCTCATTGTTCCTCTATTGCAATTCCTCTGTTGCTGTTATTCGCACAAGTGTTGCCGATCATTTTGTGGTGTGCAATATCTTTAGATCTCACCATTCAAGTCTGATGGAGGAGTGTTTTGAGGGTCTGTCATGGGATCAACTAATGGCATGTGTAGTGGACGATTCTCTTACCGGGGAAGAAGATTCACTGCCGCTCGAGTTCTCTGGAGAGGTAAACTCTCTGAATCAAAAGATTTTGAGGGCTTCTCATCCGAATGGTTCTTCCTTCGTGTCTTCTAACTTCGATGAGGTTGTGTGTGCGAATAAAGCTCACTCGTTTAATTTAAACGAAGAGGCAGTCGAGGATGGTGAAGAAGTGAGTGACGACGATACAGTGCTGGAGTTCACAAAAGTAAGTGAAAAGAAGAAGATAGTCCACCCTTTCGACTTGAACAAGTTTCCATTTCCTAAGGAAGACTATGCACATCTGACTGAGGAAGAGAAGGACCGTAAGCGATTTGTGTATGACACTTTATATTATATGCTCTAATTTGTCTCAAATTTCTATACCTTTTGTATAATTTAGGTTAATCTAGAATTTAAGCTTATGCTGATTAAGAAGTAGGTCTGTGATGCTCACGATTTGTTAGTCTGATGGATGATGATATTATATTGTGTTAATCCTGTTGTGCTAATTATATTTTGAAGGATATCAAATGTGCATGCTGTTATGATCCTTCTTGTAGCAATATTCTGTTCGTACCCTGTTATCATTCAACTGATATTAAACATGAGACTTCTGTGAACCACCTAAGCCCCTGGCTACTGGCAGCTAAACTAAGTATGGTAGCTTTGTGTTAAATATAATTATAGATTTGTCACAAAAAAAAAATATAATTGTGATTGTGTAAGAGCCTGTCCGAGTTACTTTTTAGAACCAAAATGGGAAAGGCCGAAGGGAGGAAAGGTAGAAATGTCTTTATTGTTTGATAACAAGTTTGTTTTTTCCATAAATTGCATCATTGTGAAATATGGCGAAACAAGGGTTGTTTTATGAGCAAGTAGTACCAGTGAATTAATTTCTCTTGCGTCAATTGCTTCATATTTTCATCACTTTAATCAGTTTCTTCCTTTATATTCTTTATCTAACATCTATTAGAAAATAAATTGATTACAAAATATTATTCCTTTTATGATCTGGGTTCTTTGTTTACAAAATAAATACTATTTCTTTACAAAATAAATTTATGATCAAGGGTTCTTTGTTTAATATTGTTTAACTTTGATCAGTTTTATTCTTTTATGATTAGGGGTTCTTTGACATCATTTTTCATTACCAATAGCATCTATTACAAAATATTAACTATTAATATTATGTGTTGCAATTTACATGACAAATTGTAACACAAAATATTAATCACCAAAACATAGAGGATTCATAGAAACATCCACCCCTTAATCTCATTCATCTATCCACTTGTGCTAAGTGCTCCAAAACTTTTTCAATTAGGTAGGGATTACACTTAAGTTGATTAGACAAGTCACCTCTTCTTTCCATCATATCCTTCTTCAAATGACCTTGCTTATACTTGTTTGAACCTTTATAATTCATAATGTCAATCATAATAGCTTGTAGTGTTAGGAAGATCTTATTCAATTGCTTGGATGTGTAAATTTTAAATGACTTCTCCACAGCCTTGACAAGGTCATCTATAGTTTTAGGTGCTTCTTGGTGTTGTAGTGCTTGAATTGCTCTAAAATAACCAAGATCCAAAATGTTCAAATTAGGGGAACTTGAGGGTTAGGAAACCAAGCGAATATCAAACCCACCATCACTTGTTGCCATACAAAAGTCCATATCACTATCATGAATGTGACAAGGAGCATTATCTTGTTGAACATAAATGGTTTTACTTGCATGGCTTGTTGGCCATTTGGCTTTGATTTCTAGTAATACCTTGTCAATTAAGAAAGATTTCATCACTTCTTTTGTAATTGACGTGATTGGTTTTGTTTTCATTATGCCTCTGCTCCTATTTGCACTCCTTCTCCTTGCTGCCTCTTTTGTAACAAATGGAAATAACCCAATCTTCCTAGAAAAAATTTTATTTCCTTGTGCATCAAATCTAGGCCTAGCTACAGCAACTAGGAACATAACGTTACCAACATAATTCTTATTTTTGCATGTTTGATGTGGTGGCTCTTCCCCTATTGCCAAGTAGTAGGTTTAGGATTTCTTTGTGATGTAAAATTATTTTTCATTAATATGGATTCTGTTGTGTATTGATTGAAAAGTTAGATCACTTGGTATACTTTCTTGTTCTAGTATGGACAAACACCACCTCAATTTAGCAAGCATGTTTTGCTCCTTCAAATGTGATTTGATTGCACTGGTATGGCGCCATAGAACTCCTTTTTTCTTTAGTCTGATCAATGATGTCATGTTAACCCCTAACGCACTTGCAAGAGACCTATAAGTAGTTCTTTACTGTACGGGAATTGCCATGACTTGTTCCATGTTCACATTATGTCCCTTTCTTCCACACCTATTTATCTTTCTATGAGTTGCATCACCTATTTCCTTAACTTGATTCCAAATATTTTGAATCACTCTTATTGAAACTGAGTATGCTAAAGCTATTTCTCTTATTGCAATGCTGCTCAATTTACCTCCACAACTTGAGTGTAACAAAATCTTACAAATGGCGACACATTCTTCATTTGATAAGAACCTTCTTTTACATGGTGGCTGCCTTGATGATTCAATTGTATTGCCTCCTATATCTGTCTCTGTTTCAAAAGTGTATTGATACTAGATATTAAAAGTCTGTACAAGTTTATATGCACCCTACTTTCTATATAAAATATGAAATTCTGTGTGCATGACTTAATATACAGCGAGTAAGTTAATCCTCTAGCTCTCACACTTATTTAATGAAAATAACCTTTATTTTCAAGGAACATAGTAAGAGAGTTTCATTCAATTATATGGGATTCGCATGTATTCAGCTGATCAAACAATTTGTAATGTTATAGGTGATGAAGATGTTAAAGAAGAAAATCCATCTAGAGCTTGATGTTTAGAGTCTTAAAGAAGCGGAACAAGAAAATCAAGCTAATGACTCTGCTACCTTGCTGCTAGTTTAAGGTATGGCAGTTGCAACTTCTATTATTAAAAATTGAAGCCTAGATATTTCTCTTTGTTATGAAAAAAGGTTTTCTATTCTGAATTACTTATAACCTAGGATTTAATGGAAGTACTTTAAATTACAGATGTGGTATTAAGGGTTTTAAATTACAACTCCCTCAAGACAAGCTTTCTAGCTTCTTTAACTACATCAGTAGAGGGATGATCCCAATTAGTTTCCCTAGTTAAGAAATTTATGACTTGAACACAATTTAATAACTCCAACTCTTCTTATTCCCTTTCCCTGCACTGGGTATTAGGTTTGAACTGAATTAATAGTAGGTTGGCTGGTAATATATAAATCAAGAGAAAGAAACGGATTTGTTGCTGTGTCTAACCAACTTTGTTGATATCTTCCTATTTTCCTTTATGTAATATACAAGCCCCTCTGGATTGAACTCTATGATAATTTGTTCTTAAGGGTCCTAGAGGAATCATTCATGTTTTAGCATCCTTTATTAAAGAAAACACTACAGCAGCATTGACATTCTAGTTTGCATCCATAATTGTGATGTGAAGTAGTTGTATTCATCACCCAAGAGTTGTCTTTATTCGTTAGAATCTTTCAGATGAGGAAAAGTTGTATGCTTGACTGAGTAATCAACTAACTATCATAATTATTTTAAGGGAACGTTGATGGTGATTGAATGACCTTCATAAAGTTTCTTAATTCTTATTTCTTTCATGTTCAAGTGCAATTGCAGCATTGCGATGAATTAAAGGACTAAAATATATGCCGATTAATGTTAGCTGTCAAACATTTTATGCTTCTTAGACAACAACGGGTGGTGGAGGGCATGGCATGCGTCTTGCTAAAAAACCTAACGAGTTTGTAAAGTTGTTATAGGTATCTTTTCCATATGAAGTTTTGAAGATATCTTGATTGATCTGTAATTTAAAGTCTTTAGTATGTTACAATGCATGTGAAAAGCTGTTAATAAGCACGTTAGTTGAGGTATTAAGGGGCCTTGGGATGTTTAAAAAGCTTTTAATATTTCTGATATGGACATCTGTTTTCTTAATAAGCATGTGGATATCTATGATAGGCTGCCTGAGGTATTAAGGGGCCTTGAAATGTTTAAAAACTATGAAAGATGATTATTACTCTTAAGTAGATTATATTTGGATAGCTTTATTCTTTTCAACAACTGAACATAGATACTAGAAAGTTAAATTTTACATGGGAATACTCTAAATTTTATAAACATAGATATTCTTATCATTTCTTTCTTCATTGATTGCATGTTGATTTTCACTTTGATTATTGTCTAGGTAAACATTTTCACACATGGAAGGAGCATTTAAGTCCAAGAAACTGTTGTTACTGTCCCCACCATCTTCCTCAGCTGGAGCATTTAAATCAAAAGGCGTGCAGTAATTTTCCATGGTGGAAAGCAATGGTGGAAAGCTGAAGAATATTGTGATCCTATGCATTTTTGTTCTTTTACTCAATTTGCTTTTTCTGTCATTTTTATAAGAATGTAACTGGTCAAAAATTTCCCTCCCACCAATTTCATTTTGGCCTTCCCACTGAGTAAGTTGATAGCCTTTGTTTTATTGACTTTATTTTATTGACAGACTTTTCTGTGAAGTATTATGAGAGAGAATTATTTAAAAAATAATATTATATTGTTTGGATTTTTTTAGTTTTTTATTTGAAGGGTAGTTTTGAAATTTTATATATAAATATTCTTTATACTATTATTGTATAGTTATTGATGAGGTTGGTAGATATTATTTATGCATAAAATTCGAAGAGAGTATATATCAATATGAGTTAATGATTAAAAAAAAACTGAGAAGAAGACAAGACATTAAAAAAACCATCAGGGAAAAACACCGAATCTTTTAAATACCTGTCGGGTCAGAGATGATGTACCAAATTGACTCTTAAATCTTCTGCCTTTTCGGGCAACAAGAAGAGCAAGTCGGCAAAAGTAGAAACCCCACCTCGTGCCAAAGACAGCTGCCAATACGGTGTGCTTCGTTTTGTCTTCTACCACCATCAGTCACATCCCACTGGTCTCAAAACAACTTATACTGTAACACAATTAAACTTATTAACCAAGAAGGCTAAATATTCCAGACTTCCAGAGTCAACGTAGAGACTAAAATAACAGAGAGAGCAAATACTAAATCCCACAAAAAAATGAAAAAAAAAATGGTAGCCGAACAGGCCACTAGTTGAGAGAAATTTAACTTGTGTCTACCTTAAGAGGTGGATGCAAGGCAAGTATTTGCTTATTCTTTACAAGTTGAGTATGTTTAGGGTCAGAATAAGCACTAGAAACTTCCTCTCGTTGTGCTTGTGACAGCTACCGTTACTGTGTACCTCTTTGGTTTTCTACCATTTCAGTCCCATTAATTCCACCTTCCTTCGTAATGCTGAAATTGACGCAGGTCATGCCTCAATTCCTCAAACTGACAAACAATGCATTTCTTTGAATTAAAACTAATAGGAACGTCTACCAAAAAAAAAAAAAATCATCCAATACATACCCTATACACCTTCCTCCATTTATTTTGAACGAAGCTCGTCTTCACCAACCAGTCTGATCTGACCTGCAAACTGCAATGTTAACCTTTTCTCTGGTTCTGCTTTCGTTCATTTCTCATCTCACCTCCCTCACCGCTCAGCCTCCTAACTTCAGATTTTACAGATGCTTCGATTTCAATGGCAACAATACATAGACAAGTACGTACCAAGCCAACCTTAATATCCTTCTCTCGGATCTCGCTTCCAACGCTCAAATTGACTGCATGGTTTCTACAATAATCTCCCTCACCGACAAAACCACCAGAAAGTTAAAACGATGGGGGTTATGCAGAGGAGATGTTAAGCCAATCGTATGCCAGAGTTGCCTCCATTCGTCGATCCCAAAGGTTTGTCCGAATCAAAAGGAGGCCAGAGGAGGCTAGGACTACGACTACATACGTTACACCGTTTTTAAAAATTAGGGAAAAAAAAACTATACCAAAAAAGAATTTAGATTTCAAACTCCTAGTTTAAGAACAAAATTGACTTTTACTCCTTTTTAACACGAATTTAAGGAAGCTCAAAATAACTTAAAGTCGAAATTAAGAGATTAAACATTTTTCCAAAAAAAAAAAAAGGGCTAACCCGACTACCGAATACCCGGGTATTTTCTTCGTACTTCTATTAATCGAAAGAATGAACACTTCAGATTTTCATGAACACTTTTGGCAGTCCCAAATCGCAACGCACTTGCAGCAATCCTCCCAGTTCATTCGCTCGGCCTTGTTATTTATTTATTTATTTTTCCTTCGTCTTCGTTATCCAATCCGATCACGACCCACGACTCACGACCCTAGTTCTTCTTCGTCTTCAATTCAAATGCCCATGCGTTCATATTCCAATTTGCAAGCCACGCGTTTCTATTTTTTATTACTTTTTTGATAATATAAGAATTAGTGTGACAAGGCTAGTTTTTTCAAGGAAAAAAAAATTAAAGATTCGTACTAATAAGCTCGAAAACTCAAAGTAGTGAGAGCTAGACTAGATTAGATAAGTTTTTTTTTTTTAATATGTTCAGACTTGTTTAAACATGCTCAAATATGCCCGATTTGAATTGAACCCACTGTAAAATAAATCCAGCCATGGGAAATACAGGCTCGAACCACAAGTGGGAATAAACGCTTTTGAATAGGGTCAGAGAAAGACAGCTACCAAGTACCAATATTACTGGGTGCGTCGTTTGTCTTCTAGCACTACAGTCGCATCCCACCTTTGTTGTCATGCTGAAAGTTGACGTGGTCATGCCTCAACTAGTCTCAAAAGTACAACTCAATACTGTTAGACAATTGAACTTATTAATTTTTATTAACCAAGTAGGCTAAATATTCCAGACTTCCAGAATTATAATAAAGAATAAAAAGAGAGAGCAAATATTAAATTAAAAAAAAAAAGCCAAACATGCCACTTGTTGGGAGAAATTTAACTTCCGTCCAACTTGAGAGAAAGTTGTGGTGGAGAGCGCTGCTCATTCTTGACTAACTTTTAAGTATGTTTTGGATCAAAGAAAGAGCAAAAGTTGGCAAAAATAGAAACTTCCTCGCACTATGTATTGTGCCAAATCAAAGGCAGCTAGCGTTATACCGTGTACACCGTTTGTCTTCTACCACTTAAGTCGCATTCCACCTTGGTAATGTACGTTCCTCTCACTATATATGTTTCGGGTCATTCATGCAACAGCATCAACTTGTCTCGAAAGAAATTATAATATAACTAATGGAAAGGTCTAGAATAAAAGCACGACTAAATATATTATATACGTTCCTTCATTTACTTCGAAGCTCATCTTTACCAAGGAGTCAGATATCTGCAATGTCCACCACCGGTTCTCTGCTTTTGCTTGCATTCCTCTCTTATCTTACCATTCTCACTGCCCAGGCTTCCGTCTTCAGCTATACCTACTGTTTCAATCAGAAAGGTAACTATACAAATTCAAGCATGTACCAAACCAACCTTGATATCGTTCTCTCAGGTCTCACTTCCAACACTCAAATTGACTATGGCTTCTACAATCTCTCTCACGGCGGCCAGAATCCTGACGGGGTTAGCGCAATTGGCTTGTGCAGAGGAGATGTTAAGCCAAATGAATGCCGAAGTTGCCTCAAGAATGCCTCAATTCTGGTCCCAAATAAGTGTCCCAACAAGAAGGAGGCAATGGGAGGCTATAATGAATGCGTTCTCCATTACTATAGCCTCGGGGCCCTGGAATCTAATACTCCGATCTGTATGAAGAACGTGAATAACGCAACAGACGTAGACAAGTTCAACCAAGTGGTCAGTGACTTATTGTACAAACTGAGAGAAAAAGCTGCGGCTGGAGATTCACTTCGAAAGTATGCAGCAGCAAATGAAACGGGTCCAGACTTCCTAACAATATTTGGTGCAGTTCAGTGCACTCCTGATTTGTCTCAGCAAGATTGCTCCGACTGCTTGGTGCGCGCTACCTCGGAAATTCCGAATTGTTGTTCGACCAAGATAGGTTGTAGGATTATCATGCCGAGATGCAATGTTAGGTTTGAGATTGGCCGTTTCTTTGATCCCGTCCCTGAGGATTCACCATCACCTTCTCCTCGTTTTTCTACTCCAACGTCCGCCTCTGGAGGTACCTGTCAACCTAGCTTGTTCGTTAAGCTAATTATTACAAATTACTCCTCGCTTGGTTTTCATCGATGATAGAACAACTTTCACAAGTAGGGTGTTTTTATTTATTTGACGTCTTTTCCAAATTTAAGTGGTAAATAATATGTTTTAAAACGCCCCTAAAAAATGAGATTTCTACTAATTAAGAGAGGTAGCGTGTGAGAGAAAATAATGTTTGATGAAGGGTATTTCTACAAAGATATCAATGTTTTTTTTTAAATTGAGAGAATCACATCCAAAAATCTGACAAAAAATTTATTTGTAAATAAGGACTAATAATAAATCTCATTAAAAAAAATAAGTACATCTTTTCATTTTAATAACAATCTATTTTATATTAATTTTTATTTATGAATAAGTTTTTGATCAAGTTTTTAAACGTGATTCTCCCTTTCAGATTATATAAGATAGGTCAATTTGTCCTCTAAAACCAAATGGTTAACTACATGTATGACATGCTTACCCTAGCTAGGTAGTAGCTAATAGATAAATCAATTTTAAAATTTCATTTTGTGTATTAATTAATTATTATCACTCTCACCCATGCATAAATATTAGTAAATAGACATATATTATAATATAATTTAAATGAATTTTATTAAAAGAGAATGATTCCATAATCTCGCATATGGATTGTAAATATTCTTAAGTCCACGAAATAACCGAAATACTTTACACTCTCTAGGTCTCTCAATGTAGTAGTGATAATATATACACGTGATGTTTTAAAGACTTCACCAAATTGCTTCACATAAATTTTCTGTTGTATTTCTAAAATATTATAACTAATTTTTATATTATTATATATCCACATCTATTTCCATGTTATCTGACACAAGAAGTATTATTTCAATGCAAATATTTTTTTCCCTAAATTTCAGTGCAAAATTACACACTACATATATAACTCAATTGTGATTAGCTATAGAAAGTATTAAATTATTCTTTATCTTAATTTAACAATGTGTATGATTCTTAAATTATTATAATATTTTAGGGACATAGACTAATAATCTTGATGCTTTTTTTTTTTTTCAAGAGTTGAGGAAATGTTTTGTGACCTATAGAATAGATCACTATTATGGCTATATATTGATCAAGCTGGCCTCGTCTGCAAGTAAATACAGTATTGATCAAACTTTGACTGATTTCTTCGTTGTTTTCTTTTTGTAATATATTACTATTTTCATTCCAAAATATAAGATAATTTTAGAGATATTTTGTTATTCTAAAATACGAGATAATTTGATAAAAGTGAAAATTCATTAATAATACTTTTCTGATATTACTTTTCAAGTAGAGAAAGAATTGAAATGATTGTAGTGCAATAATTAAAAATGTGTAAGGGGTGTTTATGAAAGTTTTTAGTTTTATTTGTAAAAAAAGTTTGTAAAATATTATTATTGAGCTTTATTGTGATATGCATAATCTTGCATGAAATTGCTTTATAGTATAAGACAATGGAATATGAGTAAGATTCAAACATATTGTTGGGGATAGCTCTCTACTTATAAAGGGTGAACTAAATGAGGGTGACTGATAAAGATGTGTCTTTTTATATGTAAACCATCTAACTATTCATGAATTATGGAACGCTCAACTTATCATAGATTTGATCTTTTAGTTAATTTTGATGTTGACATCTAAATCTGAAAGGGCATGTTTGGCTTTCGCAGGGAAAAGCAACGAATCAAGATCTGTCATTGTCATAGTTGTGCCGATTGTTGTAGCGATCTTAATGCTAATTGCAGCTGTCTTCATCTATTTCCGAAAGAGGAAACACAAAGAAACAAGTCAACGTAAGTCAAATTAAATATCTCTTCAAAAATTCTTGTCAATTTATTATACTATCACAAAAGAAAATTTTTTTTAAATAACTAATTTGTTTGAATCCCTTTGTAGCTGATGAAGCTGATCAACTTGACGATGAAATTAAACCTACTGAGTCATTACAATTAGACTTTGACACCATCAGACTTGCAACAGATAATTTTTCGGATGCAAACAAACTTGGACAAGGAGGATTTGGACCAGTTTACAAGGTACGTAGAATAAAAAGGTAAGGACAAACCACATTTTAGGAATCTGGGAATCTAAAAATAACAAGGAACATACTTCGATCATTGCAGGGTAAGCTCTACAATGGAGAAGACATTGCTGTCAAGAGGTTATCCATGAATTCTGGGCAGGGAGATATAGAATTTAAAAATGAAGTAATACTGGTGGCCAAGCTTCAGCATCGCAATTTAGTGAGACTACTTGGTTTTTGTTTGGAAAGAAGAGAAAGGCTACTCGTATATGAGTTTCTTCCAAATAAAAGTCTTGACTATTTATTATTTGGTGAGTTACGTATTTAGCTGAGTTAAACTGTGTTCTGTCTCTCTCACTTGGGTTAAAATCCTATTAGCTTTGTTTGCAATGGCTTCACCATATGAATCTCTAACATCCTACATGATTATGAGATTTTAGATCCAACACAGCGTGCTCAACTGGATTGGGAGATACGTTACAAGATTATAGTGGGCATTGCTCGTGGTCTTCTTTATCTACATGAGGATTCTCGACTACGAATTATTCATCGTGATCTCAAAACAAGTAATATTCTTTTGGATGAAGAATTGAATCCCAAGATATCAGATTTTGGTATGGCAAGATTGTTTGTTGTAGATCAAACGCAAAGCAATACTAGTAGAATAGTTGGAACTTAGTAAGTATCACAACTCCTAGCCTGTCAAATTAAAAGAACAACAAACTTCAAGATCATTAAGACATAACAATATTTACTTAAGCTTCTTCATAATTGGCATGCAGTGGATACATGGCTCCAGAGTATTTAATGCAAGGACAATTCTCCATGAAATCGGATGTCTTTAGTTTCGGCGTCCTAGTCTTAGAAATTATAAGTGGGAAAAAAAATAGTGCCACCTTCCATGGAGAGAATTCACATGATTGTCTGATAAGCTTTGTAAGTCTATGCCTTTTTGCAATATACAAAGACATGAAATTGCATAACTGTGAAATAATATTGAATACTAACGTTTAGGATATATATTTTTTCAGGCATGGAAAAATTGGAGGGAAGGGGCAGCCTCAAATATAATAGATCCTGTGTTGAGCAATGGTTCAAGAGATGAAATAATGAGATGCATCCACATTGGATTACTATGTGTTCAGGAAAATGCAGCTGATAGGCCAACAATGGCTTCAATTTCACTTATGCTGAGCAGCCACTCCCTGTCTCTACCATTACCATCCCAACCTCCATTTTTAACAAATAACATAAGCTTATCAGAGATAAACTCGAGGGAATATAATTCATCTGAGGCAACAAGATCAAGTGAAAGAAGAAGCAATAACTCTGTTGAAGCCTCAAAAAATGAAGTCTCATTTACTGAGCTTTATCCTCGCTAAATCTAGCCTTATAGTTTCGGGTAACATTCGATGTATCCATTATAATTTGCATGTCACCCTTCCAAATAAAAATGAAAGCTTGCTTTTACCCAAAAAATAAATAAATAAAAAATGAATAGCCATTCGTCTAGAAATAAACAGATTCTGTACATGCTGGTATAGAATTATTTCCACTTAAACTTGTGAAATGTTTAATCTCACAATAATATTTCAAAGGTTCACTTGTGTGAATCGGTTTTTGTATATAGTACGATAGATGTCAAGTTTCTCTTAGCATTTCTACAATTTTTGACCTGATGATTGATGTATCTTGTCAAATATCTAAAGGAAAATGAAAATTGAGAATTCCATAAGACTATTAATTATAATTTAAAATCTTGAACTATTGAAATATCAATAATGAACTATGATTCTTACTTGAAAAAAAAAATGAGTTTAAAATAAAAAAAAGATATTATTAAAATTATTACTGTAGTTGAGACCATTGTTAATTTTAATTGAGAAAATCGAGAACCACACTTAAGAATGAATTGTTTCCTAATATAAAACTAAAATTCACTTATAACACTTTCAAAAGGCACTTGTAGATATGTGATATTCACTTGGAAATTTATTAAACCAATCACTTGTAAATTTTTATACTTATCAATATATAGGTAAATCATTTGGAAAATTAAGAAAACACACTATTAGAAATAATATCATAAATTAAAAATATTGTTAATCTCAATTAAAAAGTCTATATTCCAAGTATTATGAATTAGGACTATTAAAATTAAAATTAATATTACGGGTTGAAACTATTATGAACCCACTCCCATGCTCCTTCTGCTTTTGCAAGACATCCCAAGCTAAAAGGTGAACCTTCTTGGAGCTCTCACTATCTCCCCAGAGAAACTCATGGCTAACTTTCTCAAGCTCATTCAGATACCCATTGGGGAAAAAAAACAGCCTGGATGTTGTAGCTAGGCAATGCAGAGATGACTGACTAAATCAAAGTTGTCTTTGCAGCCTTAGTAAGGAATTAACCCTTAACAACTGTTTCCTAGCTTTTGATAAGATAGGCAGAGACTATTAGAAACTCCCTTGTGGATAAGTAGAATTCTCAAGTACTTACCCAAATTACCGGTCATCCCAACTCCCAAATCCCTGCCTGCTATGAAGGAACACATCAACAAAAATACTTGTGAGTTGGCAGTCATTGAGATAATTACTTCCAATGGTTGCCACACGTTTTCTGTGCAAATAATATGAACAATGCTGGATATCTTGAGCAGGCAAAATACCCTTAGTTTACCTCCCTATTATTTTTTCCCCTACAAGAATCAAGGTTCATACTTAATAGTTATTGACTGACTAATGGATAATTATTACGAATAAAAAAAATTTCAATCTTACGGAGGACTTCAGGATTTGTTGCCCATCTTTACGCCTATCTGCATGTAACGTATCCATACTTTAGGTTACCATGTCAGTTTTTCAAACAAAAGCCAACATTCCACATACCCCAAATCATTTTTTAAAATATCTACATGCTGCAACCACCTCTTTGGTAAAAGTTAAATCATTTTTACATTGGGAACCTTCTCTAATAGGTGTCCAAAAATACCCTGATCCACGTTAATAGTGCTGCTTTAAAATCTCCTATAATAAATAAGCACTTTTTTAAAATCACAAGGCATAAGACAAACGTTCATTCACTTGCGAAGAGCATAAAAAAGTCAATAGAAGGAAGGACCTTTTAGAAAAAGGATGACGATAATAACACCTTCAACAAAAAAAAATGAAAATACACTAATACGAAAAAGAAAATGAAAGGCAACATTACAAAAAAAGAACATAATATTACAATAAAAGCTTGATGAATCAAAAGTTTACTTTCTCTAGCATAATGATGATCAAATAGCATCTTTCACCAGGTGTTCACTCAATTCATCAACAACTCAGCACCGGGAAGAGTCAGTTACACCCAACCAGAATTCTCTACATTCCTCCCCCGTCAAGCAGCCAATAGAATCTATTTGGAGGATAAGCTAACGTCAGTACTTGTAGTACATCCTCCAACCTCATCCAATCAGTCGCATTACTACAACACAGTGATTGGAACAGTTTAATCTGCAGTAAAGCAAATCCCACACGACTTGGAGTAAGAAACTGTAGATCAGCAGCAGAAGAAGCAAATTAGCATCGTGACTTTGAGAGATCAGGAATAAGGGTTTAGCAACTTAAGCATTTCATTGAAGCAACCAAATAAGTAATCACATTTTAAAGGACTACGAGATGAAGCAGAACATTTTCAGCAGAACTAGATCTTGAAGAACAACATGCAAGGTTTTAAAGTGCAGACAGATGAGCATTTTCAGTAGAACTAGATCTTCAAGCCCATGGCTTGAAGTTAAGAGGAAAATACACCCAGAATGTTGCGCATTAAAAGAAACAAAAGCACAAACAGACCCAACCATGTAAACATGTTTGGGTGGATAGTTTATTAAAAAACACAATCATTGAGGTCAACTGATTTATGTTTGGTAATGTAACTCAAATAAAGCACACCAATGGTAACGAGCAAGATCAAAGGACCAATAAGAAGGATCAAAAAGGGAATAAATAATAAGGTCTATAACTTATACCAAATGAAGAAATGAATAAAAAGATGGGTTATGGATCATTTTGCCCTCGAACTTTTCATGCAAGGTCTTCTGCGGGTGTACTAAACACAATTTCAGATCATCTGTGCCATCACACGTTTAAATTTGTTTGCCTTGTTGTCCTGCTGTTCACTCACCTTCTATCACCATTGGTAGGTCCCATGCCTGCCTTGTTGAGGTGGCACAGGAGAGAGATGACACTTCTCTCTCCCCCCCTTCTCTCTCTTGTCTACGTCGATTTGTCTACCCTCTCCCTCTCTCTATACAAACTCATGGCCCAGAGCATGTGGACTCTCCATTGACTTGGATCCACCTGCAAGCCCTCAGCTCTCTCCCTCCTCAACATGACACTCTTTAACCCCCTATGGACTCTTCCCTCCCTTTCCATGAGAGATAGACTTCTTCTCAACCAACCTTTACTTTGCCTCTCCCAAAGCCGATTCTCCTCCAACCTTCCTCACCCCCTCCCTTCAAAATAAACGTTAGTTCTTTATTATTCTCTTCCCTGCTCGTCTTCATCTATGTCCTCTATTTCTTATTTATCTTAGTTTTCTTTCTTGTCCCCAAACGCGTTTCAATCTCTAATATAGTTGAAGAGACTCACATGCCTTTGCCAAAGAAAATGCACCCACGAAAGCTCTACAACACATTATCACCTCCGCATCGGGAGTTATAATGGCCATTGGTGGTTTGGAGGTTTAAGGGGCAAAGGGAGTTAGAAGCAACGTCATAGAGGATGTGCAGTGCAGTCAACCTTTAGAGCCATGTGATCTAAAGGTAGAGAGATGTTGGAAGGGCTAAAGTTGGTATGGTTGAAGATGATGACCTTGTTCTTCATATCAATTGCATTTGCATGGCCGAAATGTCTATGCTTCAATGCAAGAGAATCCCATTCGTGAATGGAGGAGAGAGAAAGTGATTGAGCAAATGAAGATCCCTCATATGTCTTTTGGAGAGAGAAAGTGAACGAAGGAGAGAAGGAGGGAGCACACTGAGCTTTAGGGTGCTAACTCAACTAGTAGATGATGTAGAATGGGGAAGGAAAAGAGAGGAGAGAATATAGAAAAAAGAGAACGAGATTAGTAGAGAGTAGAAAAAAGAGAAAACTCGGAAGAGAGGTAAAATAACAATAATTCTTATTCAATCAAATGAGTTGAAGTGCTATTTATAGACCTCAACCCAACCCTAGAAATAAATGTATGAAAATCTTGAAAATTCTAAAATTAAATAAAAAAATAACAATAAATGAAAAGATAAGAATAAATGTTGAAAAATAATAATTGAAATTAAAACAAAATATATGTAATTAATATGAGATCAAAATATCTTCAATCTTCTTAGATCTTCAAATCTACAATATCCTTGTAATATCTTTACTTTTTTTTTAATTTTCTTCCCATCATTTCCCCTCGACTCAAAAGAACTCTCCTTTGGAGAGGTATGGAGTTGGTAAGACTCGAGCAAGGTGAGATCAATCTAGCGAAACTTCTCTTCAGCGATCCGAGTAGCATCTGAGTCTGAGAAGCCTTTCCAACAAACAAGGTAGTGATGAATAGGACCATTGGTGGTTAATATAGTTTGTTCATCCATAATCATATCAATCTTGTCCCTAACGGGTGGAACATTTGGCAATAAAGGGATTAGAGCATTGTGAGGTTGTGTACTTGTAGAATCATCACTAAATAGTGAGGGAGGCTCAAAAGTGCCTCGATAGGAAACAAGATCCTCAACATTAAAAACTGAACTAATAAACATATTAGGAGGTAATTCAAGTAAAAAAGCATTAGGACCAAGTTTTTTGAGGATGCAAAATGGCCCAAAGGCTCAAGCATGCAACTTTTTGAAAATTTTTTTAGATAACGCTCAGGGTGGATACAAGCCATAACATAGTCACCTTCATTAAAATTTTGAGCGCAATGATGAGTATTGATTGATAATTTATATTGCCCATTACTAAGTGTTAACTTACGCTTAATTTTAGCATGTAATTCATGAAGGCATTGTGCTAGGGATTCTACAGATTTAAAAGTACAAGTTGTTACAGGAAGGGGTACCAGGTCAATTGGTTGTTTCGGGTCAAAACCTTGGACTATTTCAAAAGGACTTTTTCCTGTGGACCAACTGATTGAACTATTACATGCAAACTTAGCTGTAGGTAAAATTAAATCCTAATTTCCTGGCTTATTTCTGACTAGACTTCAAAGTAAGTTACCTAGATTGTGATTAGTCACCTCATTTTAGCCATCAGTTTGAGGATGGAAGGTAGAAGAGAATTTTAATTGGGTTTCAAAGAGTTTTTCAAAGTGTCTTCCAAAAATAAATTTGACATCTCTATCAGAAACAATGGAAGTAGGGAACCCATGTAAGCGTATAACTTCTTTAAAGAAGAGCTTGGGCAAATGGGAAGCATCAGTGGTTTTACTGCAAGGTATAAGGGTCATTTTTCAAAACCTATCCACGACAACTAGAACAAAGTCATGTTGTCGAGCAGTGCGAGGTAATCCTAAGATGAAGTCCATGCCCAGATCCTTTTAGGGTACGTCAAGGATAGGTAAAGGAGTGTACTAACCAGTATTTTGTTTTCCAGCCTCGAAAGTGTGACAAGTACGACATTGTGACAAAATTTGAGCAATGTGGCCAGCTAATCCTCAACTAAATTGATAGTTTTATCTCTACTAAAGTGGCCAGCTAATCCTCTCGCATGGAATTCCTAAACAAAGAAGTCTCTCATAGATGTCTGAGGAATACACAACTTAGTACCACAAACAACAACAACTTAGTACCACAAAAAAAAAAAGAAAATCATTTTTAATAAGGAAAGATGTGTGGTTATGACGATCTCCATTACCAATTTCTTGATAAATGACTTTAAAGTCAGGGCATGAGGTGTAGTCATCTTTTAGCCTCTCAAAGCCTACAACACTGATACTCATAATGTGCAAAAGGTTAACCCTACGACTTAGAGCATCTGCAACTTTATTCTCAATTCCTGCATGGTGTTTCACAACAAAAGTAAACTCTTAAAGGAATTCAACTCATTTGGCATGTTTGGATGGCATTTAGAGTTTATGAACTTAAGAACTTGATGGTCAGAATATACAAATTGTTGAGGGAGAAAATAATATTTCCAATACTCAAACGATCAAACTATGACATAAAATTCCTTGTCATATGTGGAATACTTCTTTAAGCTTTTCACTAAAGAAAGCTATAGGGTAACCATCTTGACTGAGGACACCTCCAATTCCTACTCCAAAAGCGTCACAAGCCACTTCAAAGCACTTGGGGAAATTGGGGAGGGCTAGAGCAAAGGCTTTGGATAATTTATCTTTAATGTTCATAAAGGCTCGTGATATGGTAGGGTCCAATGGAATTTATCCTTTTTAAGGCAATGAGTGATAGGGTTCATAATAATACTAAAATCTCTAATAAAGCACCTATAGAAAGATGCTAAGCCATAAAAATTACACACTTCTTGAAGAAATCTAAGTTCAATCCACTCACGGATAGCTTTGACTTTTTCAAGATCGGCAGCTAATCCTTTTTTAGAAACAATGAACCCTAAGAGAATAACTTGCTTCTGTAGAAAAGAGCACTTGGGAAAATTGTCATTAAACTTCTCTTTCATAAGGGTAAGGAATACTTGGTGGAGATGAGCTAAAAACCAAAACATCATCAAAGTATACAACTAGAAATTGGCCCTAAGTAAGCTCGAAAGATGTGGGTCATAACCCTCATAAATGTACTAGGGGCATTGGTTAGATCAAAAAGCATGACTAACCATTCGTACAACTCATCTTGTGTCTTCAATGCAATCTTCCATTCATCTCCTGGCCTAATTCTAACTTGGTAATATCCATTACAAAGATCAATTTTGAAAAACCAACTAGAACCTAAAACAAGATCAAGCATATCCTCAAGTCTAGGAATGAAGGATTAAGGGCAGCCCTTGAAGCCCTATTAAGCCGTGTTATCTTTATACACACACACACACACACATACATACATATATTTGACTGATAATGACACAATTTGATTAATATTTACCATACATTAAATCTCCACCTGCCTCTTCAACAAGTAAACCTATATCTGAAAGATCTAATATTTTATTTTTAAATAATGATGAGGAGGATTTAGACTTACATTAACAAAAATTTTAATCTTCATCTTAAATTTTAAATTTTAAATTTTAAATCTTTATTGAATGTTATGTTGAATTTTATGTGAGACTTTAATTTGTTTTATATTAAATTTTAGAATATTCTATTTAAATTAAAATGTTGGATTTTTTTTCGAGAAAAAGGGCTCAAAGGGCTAGGCCACAAAATTGGGTCAAATTTTAAGTAATCGGGCTTTAGGGCCTAAGCCCTTAAGGGCCAAGCCCATAAGGGTCGGGCCCACCCTAATTTCCACCTCTAAATTCATAATATGTCTAAGATTACTAGAAGCTAACTCTATTGCAATACAAGAAGTTGTGTGGCTCAACAAATTTCTAGAACGGTTGGGAATAAACCATAGGAAAAATGGTCCAATTATGACACATCCTAATAGTTAAGTAGCCATAACCCACATAAGAACCCTTAGTATCACAATGGGACTAAGCACATTGACATTAAGTATCACTTTCTTAGATATATGATTACTAAGAAGCAAGCCACGAATTAAACTTATTCAATCATAAAATATTAGCTAATTGCCTTACCAAATTCATAGCCAAGGATCATTTATATTTGGGGTATGTGCAGGCAATAATGATTTAAACTTATCTCATGAATAAAATTATGTATTTCTTCGAAACACTTGTGCAATAGTATACAATATTTTGCACGCCATACATTATCACGCAAACAACCACATTTAATACTTATAAGGAGCAAAGGAGGGTAAGACAAAATATGACCACCACCTACTTAAAGAAAATGGTGGGATGGTTATGATGGAACCCTCTACACTAATAAGCTTAAAACAAGCAAGGATACAAAAAAATACACAGAAAATGGGACTAAACATGATAATGGAGTTGTATTACAAGCAAAATAAGGAACTAAAAGTACAGAGTACATGAAACGACACAAAATACAACCCAGTACAGCAACAAAAACACAAGTTACACATGAACAAATGATGAAGAAAGATATCTTCCTCTACCCCAATTTGGCAATCAAGAGGCCAAAGCTCTCCTCACCACTCACAATTTCCAAAACACTCCACACCCCTCCCTCTAGGCAAAGAGGAAGATTTAAAGACCCAAAAAGTGACTGACACAACCCTTACTAGACCCTTAACCATCACTAGGACTCTAACAGATCACTAGGCCATCAATTACTTTTTTTCATAATGAAATCATGAGCTCATAACAAATTTGGAGGGCAAACATCTAAACAAACAATGATGTTATCTTCTAAGCTCATTGCCTTCCTTGATTTCCTCTTATAGGTCTTGGTGAAATCACAAGCTCTATTAGATTGAGAATAATCACTTATCAAATGTCGCCTCAAAAAGTGATATCAAGATGACATCTAAAACCTAGAATCCATGATAATATAGCCAAGCAAAGAATTCCTAAATGAGGACGTCAAAGCAATTCATGGAATTATGGTTCAAATACTATGTGCATTTAAGACTTAAGCTTAAATGGTGTTGATAGTATGTGTTTGGATAGCAAAAATAATCGATTTTTGGCCCAAAAAATCAATTCTCCACAAAATTATCCAAACACCCACTTTTTTGGTTAATCGATTTTTAGGCCAAAAATCGATTATTTTTGGAAGTTGAGAATGAGCTTTTGTGAAAAAGCTTGTCAAAAAATATTGTGAAAAATTACAAAGACAAGCCTAAGAAAAAATTACAAAGAAAGCACAAAATTTAATAAAAATAAAATCAAACTCTCTTCTTTTCTCTTTTTTTTTCTTAATAAAATTCAAACTTTGTATCTTCAAAAACTTGATATTTGGTATTTAAGAATTAAAATTATATAGCTAAAAATTGATTTTGATTAAATTATCTAAACATCCTCAATTCCATTAAAATCAATTTTAGAAAAACAGTATTCAAACAGATTGCGTTATAACATAATCAATTATGATTAAAATCTACTACTTAATCAATTATTTTCACAATTTATTATACTCAACTGAAATCCAAACGGGCACATAAACTAAAATCAACATCCCCTGTCAAGAGAGAAACACCATAGCACGCAATTTATACTATGCCCACTTATATGACCACATCAATGGAAGTGGATGGAAGCATTCTTGTTCCATCACCGTGAATCTTAGAAAGATAGTACCCTTAGGATTATACTATGACGATGTCATAAGAGGCTAGTCTAGTGATAACCACTTTAGTTTGTACCCCATGATTATGAGTAATTTCATCTAACAGGTCAATTAGTGGGAAAGTAACTAAGTTAAACTTGATTGATATCCAGTTTAAAGGAAGATTAACCACAAATCACACAGCTGTGTTTAAAGGAAGATTAACCCTAAAATACACGGCTGTGTTATTGTTTGAGACATGTCCGTTACAAGTTATGAGAAAAAACTTGTAAATATAGGTACTAAGTATATAAGAAGGCAGTTTGAGTTAAAGATAATTAACTCAAGAAGCATTAGATATGCAATAGATAATGTGTGTAGATAAATCTAGAGTGATTGAGGCAACTTATAACAACAATGCAAGTATCACAAACATCTGAATCGAGGATGCCCTACCACATGATCATGGTAGAGCACCAAATATGAAGATAAGAATCACACAATGGTAGTCCTATCAAGTGCGATTAGGAAATACTAGAAATTACAAATCTACTCTTGATGGGAATCTAGTAATATTGTCAAATTAATGAGTAGATACTTGACATATTTCAGTCTAATGAGAACTGACTGGAAATCAAGAATTAATGGTGGATTATTCCTAATTGAATCCAAAACAGGAAGTCATCCCTCGTATTTATTGCGGAATATTCCATCACATTAATTCCCTCCTTTATAAGGCAAATTATGACTACTAGAATTTTCCTTTTTGTGGCAGCCTCCCACACTATAAATAGCAGTAGGTGACTAAAGGAAGAACATGCCCCAAAGCGAATACCTCATTCTTAGTATTCATTCTTCCACTCCCTCTCTTTCTCTCTTCAATGCATCTATTGTGCATCTAAAAAAGGACTCTAGAAGTCCTATCTAGCATGGATAGTCGAGCTGCAATGCCCAAATCTCCTAAGACTCTGACCTGCCTCCTTTTTCAGATTATTTTTTTATTTATAATATCCTTCAAATGGAATATAATCTCTCTCTCTTTCTACTCTCCTTTTTATTTATAATAATATTTCTATAATAACAAGAGAGTTTATTCCATTCAACTCAATATGATTCTCACAAAATCTAATTACAACCTACAATCCCCTCTATAAAATAGACCCAAGCACCAAGGCCATTAACTAAACTCTAATTAACTCTCCCTTTTATTACAATTATATATTAGTTAATATGAGGTTTTTCTCCCACGAAGTGCATGGAATGGATAACACCTAACAATGGGGATAATTTATGAAATGGAGCATAAAACCATGAATCTTCCAAAACTATTGCAAATTAGAAGGGGCAACTTTCCAAGTAGAGACATCAAAATAAATATTTTCGTAATATAGTTTAAAAGCAGGGAGTTGGATCTTAGCATCTTACCCTGCCACCTCTAATGAAAGGTTTCTGTTTCCTTGAGCAGGTTTGGGCATCACAACATTGGCACAGAAACAATTCTGCCAATAGATCACATCACCACCAAGGGAAACAAATTAAAACCAGTGCAGGGATAAACACAGCAGAATTTTAGCAGTAAATTTATTACAGATGGAACATCTTTAGAAATTACAAACATACCATGAAGGCGGTTTGCTGAGAGACAACCATTTAAGGGAAACCCATCTGTCTGCAAGACACTAAATAAATTGTGGACGTGGATTGGGTTTTAATATCTAGCATTAGTGAACAATGCAAGAGTGCTTGTGCACCAAAAGGGAAAAACACTGAAGAGCAAACTAACATAGGTGACCATTTCTCCCAGAAGCTGCCGGATTACACTTGGTTTTAGAGGTCTAGGTGTAAACCTTATAAATCACGACCTCACAATGCAATGCCCCACATAAATCAGCCAAGCACTTACCATGGATCTGCATTTAAATGCAGCGACAAAGAAGTCAGACTCAAAATCAACAAAGCTTTCACCTTTCAGCCTTCAACAATTATAATGTGATATCAACTGTAGCAATGTATTCAAGGAGAGCTCGACGCTTTCCTCCAATTAATTAAATACTTCAATACTTGTATATGGCATTTGAATGAGAGTGTGTCGTACAGGAAATGCAAATAAAACTAGAATGAGTTTTTGACATCGACGTCAATGGATTCTTTCTCAAGAAATGGGGAGGGGGTGGGGAATAACTGAGTGGCTTGTATAATAGAAAATCTTGAGTTATTGTGTTTGGCCATATATAATATAAATCAAGTATCACAAACGACTTAATTAAAGGAAACAGTATATAATCAACTACAAAAATAGGTACTAGACTGAAATAACATTTAGACATGACAGAAATGAAGAACAACTAATAGAAATCTGAAATGTAAATTAAAAGCAAAAAAAGAAAACTAAGAATTAGTATCAGTTGTAAGGTAACATCAACAATAAAAATCTGGTGTAGAAGAATCAGAATATAGAGAGGTAATCACGAGCCATGGCATCAAAATCTCCTTAATTTGAAGGTTTCTGCGTTAATGAGTAAACAAATAAAAATCAGTAAAAAAAATTTGGAAAATAAAATAAAGGGAAAATTGATGTTACAGACCTGCTAAGAAATTATTTACCATAAGTAACCAGTATTGTCCTGGCTCTTGACCAAATTAAATACACTAGTGCTTAATGGGTCGTTGAGGATTTATACCAACAATGGCTAGTAATCACAGCCAATCTTCCTTATATGATAAAATATAGCACTACACATAGTGAATATATGATTTATATGCAAGATCTCCAATTGACTTACTAAAACACACCCAGAATGACAATACTTTGAATGCTTCATAATATCATACATTTTACATCAATATAATTAACATTCTTCATAAATGATAAAAAGTGCAGAGATTAAAAAGATGTGTTTATCTTAAAAAAAAGCTTTAAAACGTTAAAAAAATCAATAAAAGCACGAGAAAAAAAAAAGAGAAAGAATGCAATGAAATAGATATGATGTGTGTGCATTGTGGTTTCATCAAACTTTAAATCAAAAACATATTTAAAAATTGAGAAAGATATCGAGAAAATATAAACCATTAAGCACTTTTTGAAAACAAATAATAGGAAGTGCAAAGATTAAGAAGACAAGCTTATAATTAAAAAAGCTTTAAAATGTAAGAAAAAAATCAACAAAGAGAACAAGGGAAAAAAGAAAAGTGCAATGAGTTATATATGGTTAGTGTGCATGATGGTTTCATTAAATCTCACATCAAAAAAAAGCTTTAAAATGTAAGAAAAAAATCAACAAAGAGAACAAATGAAAAAAGAAAAGTGCAATGAGTTATATATGGTGTGTGTGCATGATGGTTTCATTAAATCTCACATCAAAAATATATTTTTTTAAAGAAAATAAGAGGACTTTTATTTAAAAATTGAAAAAGATATCAATAAAAGTACAAAGAATTAAGCACTTTTCGAGGACATATATTAGCTAAATAAAAAAAATAAAGTTTACAAAAGATATATATAAATAAAAGGTGCGGATATTAAAAAGATGTGCTTATATTTAAAAAAAGATTTAAAATGTAAGGAAAAAAAATCAATCAAAAGCTTGAAAAAAAAGAGAGAGAAAATGCAATGAGTTATATAGTATGCGTGCATGATAGCTTCGTCAAGTCCCCCATCAAAAATAAATATTTTTTAAATCAAGTCCCCCATCAATAAACGATTACTTTTGTTTAAAAATTGATAAAAATATCAAGAAAAATATAAAGCATTAAACACATTTTCAAGACATATTTAAGTTAAAAAAAAAAATCATGTTTCAACAAAATATATAAATTAAAAATAGGAGGTGCAAAGATTAAAAATATGTGCTTATGATTAAAAAAAGATTTAAAATGTAAGCAAACACTGAAAAACAAATCACAGAGAAAAAAAAGGATAAAGAATGCAACGAGATACATATGATGTGAAATCCCACTTCAACAATATCTTTCTTAAAAAAAACATAAGAGATGACTTTTATTTAAAAATTGAGAAAGATATCAATAAAAATATAAAGTAAAAAGAAATTTTTTAAGATATATATAGATAAAAATATGGTAAAAAAACGTGCTTCTATTTAAAAAAAAATTAGAAAGAAAGAAAACAATCAAGAAAAAGCATGAGATATGTGCACGGTGACTTCATCAATCAAGTCCATCTTAAAGAAAAGAAGAAGACAACTTTTGCCAAAAATATTGAGAAAGAAATTATGAAAAATATAAAGCATTAGCCACTTTTTTAGAACATATTTAAGTAAATAAAATAATAATGTACAGACAAAAAAGTTGAGAAAATAATAGCAAGTGTAACGATTAAAAAGACGTTCTTACAATTAAAAAAGATAAAAAACGTAAGATAAAAATCAACAAAAAGGAAAAGGAAAAAAAAAGATTAAAAAAAATGCAATGAGTTATATATGGTGTGTGCGCATTATGGCTCCATCAAGTCCACATCAAAACTATATTTTTCATAGAAAATAAGAGATGATCATTATTTAAAAATTTAGAAAGACATGAAAAAAAATATAAAGCATTAACAATTTTTGAAAACATATTCAAGCTAAATAAAAAAATAGATAAATAATAGAAGGTTAAAAGATCTGTTTATATTTGAAGAAGGCTTTAAAATGTAAGCCAAAAAATAAAGAAAATGAACGAGGAAAAAAGAGAAAGAATGAATGCAATGTCAAATCCCACGTCAAAATATATATTTAAAATAATACTTTAAATGCTTGAAAATATGATAAAAAATTTTAAGAACATAAGATTTACATTCTTCATAAATGATGGATTTTATTTATAAATTGAGAAACACATCATTAAAAATGTAAAGCAAAATGAATTGTTTGAAGATATATTTAAGTTAAATAAGAAAAATAAAGTTTAAAATCAAAATCTAGATGAATAATAGGCAGTGAAAAAATTAAAAAGATGTGCTTATAATTAAAAAAGATTAAAAATGTATGGTAAAAATCAACAAAAAGAAAAAGAGAAAAGATTGGGAAAAAAAAATGAGTTATATGTGGTATACGCGCACATGATGGTTTCATCAAGGCCACATCAAAACCAAATTTTCTTTATAGAAAATAAGATATGACTATTATTTGAAAATTGAGAAAGATGTGAACAAATATAAACCATTAAGAACTTTTTGAAAGAAAAAAAAAACTAGATAAAAAATAGATAAATAATAGAAGGTAAAATAATCTGTTTATATTAAAAAAAGATTTAAAATGTAAGGAAAAAAAATTATCAAGAGAATTAACAAGGAAAAAAGAGAAAGACATTCTTCATAAATGATGGATTTTATTTATAAATTGAGAAAGACATCAATAAAAATGTAAAGCAAAATGAATTTTTTGAAGACATATTTAAGCTATATAATAGGAAGTGCAAAGATTAAAAAAGATGTGCTTTAATTAAAAAAAAAAACCAGCGAAAAGCACAAGCTAAAAAAAATAGAAACAATGCAATGAGTTATATAAGGGTGTACATACATGAACGATGTGGTTTCCGGAAGTCCCACATCAGAAATTTATTTTCTTAAAAGAAAAAAAAAAAAGATGACGACTTTAATTTAAAAATTGAGAATGATATCAAGAAAAATATAAAGCATGAAGTGCTTTTTGAAGACACATTTAAGTTAAAAAATCGAGTTTAAACAAAAAAATATATAGTAAAATAATAGGAACTGAAAAGATTAAAAAAATAAGGTCAAATTTTCAAAAATATCTTTAGAATGAAACAAAACAATCAAGAAAAAGCATGCAATATATCTTATAGATAAAATAAAAGATGACTTGTGCTTAAAAATTGAGAAAGATATAATGAAAAATGTAATGCATTAAACACTTTTTCAAGAAATGTTTAAGTTAAATAAAAAAATCATGTTTCAACAAAAAATATAGATAAATAATAAAAAGTGCAAAGATTAAAAAGGTGCACTTATATTTAATAAAAGTTTTAAAATATAAAAAAAATCAACAAACAATGAGTTATATATGGCGTGTAAGCATGGTGGTTTTATCAACTTTCACATCAAAAATATATTTTTATAAAAGAAATGAGAAAGATATCAAGAAAAATACAAAGCATTAAGCACTTTTTGAAGATATATTTAAGTAAATAAAATAATCAAGTATAGACAAAAAATAAAGATATAACTATTTTTTATAAAAAATTAAGAAAGATCAAAGTGTAAGCCAAAAATCAACAAAAAGAAGGAAAAAAAGTTGAAGAATGCAGAAGAGTATATACGGTTTATGTGCATTGTGGTTTCATCAAAGTCCCACATCAAAACTACATATTCTTTATAGAAAATAAGAGATGACTATTATTTAAAAATTGAGAAACATATCCAAAAAATATAAAGTAAGCACTTTTTGAAGACATATGTAAGCTAAATAAAAAAAATCAACTTTACACAAAAAAATATAGATAAATAATAGAATGTGCAAAGATAATACTTTGAAAGAATGCAACGTCAAATCCCACATAGAAATAAATATTTAAAAAAATACTTTGAATTCTTGACAATATGATAAAAAATTTTAATATATGATTAACATTCTTCATAAATGATGGATTTTATTTATAAATTGAGAATCATATCAATAATAATTTAAAATAATATGAATTTTTTGAAGACACAATCAAGCAAAATAAGATGCACTTTTATTTAAAAAATATTTAAAAAGTAAAAAAAATCAACAAAAAGCACCAGAAAAAACAGAGAAAGAATGCAATAAATTATATAGTGTGTGCGCAAATTTATCCTTTTAAAGAGAATAAAAGATTACTTTAACTTTCAAATTGAGAAAAATATCAAGAAAATATAAAGTATTAAGAACTTTTTGAAGAAATATTTAAGCTAAAAACAATTTTCAACAAA